AAAAAGCAGGCTTCGCTGGAGCAGCGTTTCCGAGCCGAAAACTTTTCTTCTCGGAGCCGTCGGGCGCTCCGGGGCTTTCTTCTCGTGCTAGGGAGGTTCCCTAGACTTGGGAGGGGTTTAGGGAGGTTAGAGAGAAGTTAGAGAGAGAAAGAAAGGTTTGAAGGTGTGAGGAAATTATGAAGAGTTCATCTCTTATTTATAGGAATTGTATAGTAAAGTAGTTTCCAAGCTTCGTCCGTAACTTTCGCATACCAGCTCCATTTTTGTCTGTCTTTTTACCGTTGAGTTCCTATTAATGAGATCTTCAACTCTCATTTAGACCTCGTTGGCTAATTCTCATTCTATCTCGGATTTACAAAACTGTATCGAATTCGCCGCGCTCGAAAAGTAGAGACTAAGCTTCGTCCATAACTTTCGCATACGAGCTCCGTTTTTGTCTGTCTTTTTACCGTTGAGTTCCTATTAATGAGATCTTCAACTCTCATTTAGACCTCGTTGGCTAATTCTCATTCTATCTCGGATTTACAAAACTGTATCGAATTCGTCGCGCTCGAAAAGTAGAGACTAAGCTTCGTCCATAACTTTCGCATACGAGCTCCGTTTTTGTCTGTCTTTTTACCGTTGAGTTCCTATTAATGGCATCTTCAACTCTCATTTAGACCTCGTTGGCTAATTCTCATTCTATCTCAGATTTACAAAACTGTATCGAATTCGTCGCGCTCGAAAAGTAGAGACTAAGCTTCGTCCATAACTTTCGCATACGAGCTCCGTTTTTGTCTGTCTTTTTACCGTTGAGTTCCTATTAATGAGATCTTCAACTCTCATTTAGGTCGCGTAAGGCAAAAACCGCTCGAACTAAAATTCGAGTTTCGGGTTGTACACTGCTAAGCCGAAACTTCGAAAAATCATAACTTCCTCATACGAAATCAGATTTGGGCGTTCTTTTTATGGACGCTCTCGGTTTAACGTTTTCTACGACTTTTGTTTAGATTACTAAGGCTAAAAGTCGCTCCATCGTAAATTCACTATTTACGCTTCCCGGTGCCGTGCCGGTTTTGCCGTAAAACTTCGACGGGCTATAACTTATTCGTTATAACTCGGATTTCGGAGTTCTTTATATGTACGGAAACCTTGAGAAATATTCTACAACTTTGGTTAAGATTATTTATTATAAATAATCTTTTTCCGAAAATTCGTTTTCGACATTCATTGCCTCTAAATTGACTAGCCCGGATCTACGGGCGTTACAGTATTGTTATCTGCTAGACTGCAAGGTAAGTTTTATCACTATACCTTGTACTGCAATATGTATCCTTATGTGTAGGATGTTGGTATATTGTAGTGACCTATTAAATTATTAGATACTTTATGATTACCTATGTTTTCTAGTTATTATTTATCTGTTTACGTATGTCGACATATTGTGGTTGGGTCGAGGCGGTCATGTTTTGTGTTGTAGGTCAAGATACCCGGGAGGTCCATGTGTACTGTAGGCTTTGCGAGGCGGTACAGTCATACTGTATGCCCAAGGGAGCGGTCCGACTATATGTTATATGCTCATAAGAGTGGTCTAGGTGTATTGTAGGCTTTATGAGGCGGTCCAGTCAAACTGTAGGCTCATGTGTGCATACATTGTTTGTGTTTTGTTATGTGGGGTATTTTGGGGAAACTCATTAAGCTTTGGCTTAACGTTGTGGATTTAAATGTTTCAGGTATTTCAGAGGATCGGAGGAAGGCGAAAGCGTGATCGTACACATCATCCTATTGATTTTTTACTTGAGAGATGTTATTGATACTCTGATTTTTATGTTTATGTTTTGAAACAATGGTTTGGATACTTATGTTTTTTATGAAAAAATCTTTGAAAATGAAAACTTTTTACTATGGTTTCTGGGACGTTAAAGTTAAGCTCTCAATCCGTTAAGCCTTCAGTTCTAACTTTCCATGATGCTTCTTGGGACCCTAATTGTCCATAAAAATCCAAACTTTATAGACATGCATGACCCATGCATGTCCTTCACCCATCTAGGTCAAAATATGAAAAAAAATGACCTAAAACTCACGCATGGATTTCAAAACTCATTTATCTTCTAGATCCAAAAGATATAGTGACCAAGCGACCAAAGTGAGCCTTAAAGTTGTATACTTTATCTCATCTAACCAATCTAATCTCAAAAGTGAACCACAACTTTCTATAACACCTAGATCTATGAAGAAGGAACCAAAAAGGTGGAAGCTTGAGGAATTATAAAGGGCCCGGAAGATACACACAAGGAGTAAAGATAAGTTGCTTGCTGGATCTATGTACAAGAGTTCCTTTTTCTTCCTTCCAAGGTCATAAAACCACAAAAAATGAGCCAATAACTTCAAATGGAGGCTAGGGTTAGTCTATGGTGCTTTGGAGGTGATGGAGGCTGAGGGTGGAAGGAACCCTAGCTATCACTTCCCTTCAATAATGCACAAAACCCGAAAAATTTAGGGTTTACATTGTTGTCGTCATCATGTTGTGGCTAATTAATGTCCACGCGTAGCGGCCACGAGAAACACGCATTTCATGCAACGCTTTGACGTCGTGGCCACCCAAAACTCAAAGTTTAAGGATGAGAATTTCATACTTGGAACCGGGCATTACACCTTACAAGTCATTATCCCATAAGAAAATATTTTCTAATATCAACCATAATAAATGTTATATTTTTCGGTCGCCTAAACATCAAAATCAACTTTCTTAAGATTTTTCACCACTAAAGGGATGTTTGGGAGTAGGTATGAGATTTAGAACCAGATTTACTATAAAGGTTTGTTTATCAGTTCCTCACATTAAGAAAATCTGGTCACGATTCTAACACCGGTTCGGTCATATAAACCCAGTTAAAAAACTAGAACCAGACCAGAATCGTAAGAGTAAAAAATTCATGCAAATATTTTTTTGAAAACATTATACGTCATGCTTTTTAAAATGCGCATAACTCACTCGTATGAAATCATAATTATTTGATTTTTTTCTAGTATGTAATTTGGTGTTTGTACTTCATTTTAGAATATAAAAATACATACTTTGGTTAAATATAAATAAGATATAGGTCACTCGAAGACAACATATCAATACTGCGTTTTTTTTTCTTTCTGTTTCAACATTTTTTTTAATTCAATCTTACTATTTGATATATGCATAATTCACTCATATGAAGTCGAAATTACTTGATTTTGTTTTTCAGCATGTAATTTGGTGTTTGTACTTCATTTTAGACTATAAAAAGATATATTTTGGTTCAATATTGAATCCACTACATGCCCCAAAAGACAACATATCAATGCTAGATTTTTCTGTTTTAGCGTTTGATTTTTAATTTTATCCAAATTTTATATATGAAAGTTAATTTTTTTTCAATACTTTTTTTTTCAATTCGTGGTGGTTGAAAGTGCATTGCTATTCTTGCGTCCATTTTGAAAGTGCATTGTCAGTCCTGGTTCCATTTTAAAAGTGCATTGCTATTCTTGGTTATATTTTGAAAGTGCATTGATATTCATGGTTCCAAAACCGGTTCCATTTTGATAGTGCATTGTTGTTATTGGTGCAAATCACAAAACTAGTTCTGTAAAATAACTGAAAAAACAGTCCCAGGACCGGAACCGACATCGGTATCGACATTCTGGTTCTCATTTTATGTAATTTGTTAAATCCGATTCTGTTTTGAAAATTCGTTCGGTCCGGTTCTAAAGCTCATCCCTATTTGAGAGTGCTTATTTAAAATGATAATCACTTTTTAACTTATTAACTTATAATTGTATCAAGAGATGGTTTTTAAAAAATTGTTTGAGAGTTTTTAATAATTTAGGAATGAATGACTAATCAAATTACTTATCTTCAATGTGGAACCCTTATGAATTGTTTATTATTTTTTTTTTTTTTAAAAGCATCTATCCACTAATTTTTATTTATAACAATGTAAAACCGACAATAAATTAAAAAACTCAATCTTTTAAGTTTTTTCAAGACACCCTCTAAAAATAGAATAATCAACATCTTTTACCCAACAAAAATGACCTAATTAGCAATTTTGCCAATTTTCACTATTAAAAGCAATTAAAGTATAAACTTTAAGCTGTTTTTTATGGACAAATGTTATACCAAACGGGGGTGGAAATAGCTACCTCCGTTTCGCCCCCGAATTCGTCTGTTTTCCCCGACCTTGATCCCAACCCCGAACTCCCCCCGCTCCCCCACCCTTGATTCCGCACCCGAATTTGAAGACCACCCTTAATCTCACCCTTGTTTCCCCTTTTCCACTGAATCCCTCGTTAACCCCGTTTGGCTCGAAATCCCCCGTTCAACCTTATATATATATATATATATATATATATATATATATATATATATATATATTTCGTTTAACTTTAAATATTACACTAATTTTTCAAATACAAAACATATATTACACAATAACTACTTTAAAAACAATATTTATTTTTATAAATAAAATAATTAAATATAAAATAACTATTATGGCCCAGTGGAGGATTTGAGACATCACCCCCTGAAAACTAAATGGAAGTAAAACCTAAGCTTTATATAACACGGACACGACACGATATCATGTTTTTTTAACTAATACGAAAACGAACCAATTAAAAGCGCCAAACATGACACGACACAAGAAAGATAACATAATATAAAATTAATTTATTTAATTAATATTTAATCATACATAACACGAAAAACACAAAAAACAAGACAAATAAATGCTAAATCGTGTCAAATTTTGAACACGAACGCAAAACGACACATCGTGTTTTTACACTTGAAACAAACACGACTCGAAAACGAATTTGAATTTCAGTTTTGTCCCGATTTCGTTTCGTGTCGTGTATTTTTATCGTGTCGTGTCAACGATTTTCAGCCCCCAGTAAAACCCGCCTGCGATCCCTACCCCTACCTAAAATTTTTTATAAAAATATTCCTATTAAAGAACGAGGTCCCTCATAATCGGGATCGCACGGGATTTTTGACATTTTTGTTTTAGTTATCAACATTGTTATTCACCACAAAAATATCGAAGTCAACATTTTTTACCATCAAAGGCCATCGTATCTCGAACTCCGACAAGGGCTCTAGAGTGAAGTTCCACGTCGTCGTGTATTGTCATCACGTCTCAACTTCCTAGATTCGAGAGAGAGAGAGAGAGAGATGAGAGAGGGCTTTCGTTTCTACAATGGCGAAGTAGTGCTAGGGTTTATTTTGGGTTTACTATACCTATGCGATTACTCAATCGTACCAATCAGAGCATCGATTCATGAGTATCGCAACGAGTTCTTCACTCCTCAGTTGAACGCTTTCCTCTTTCATGGAGGCAGTGAAGGTCTCTTCGCTTCAAAACATCTCGAAGATCATGACAATAGTTCTTCTATTACCTCTCCAGGAAATAAACCCCTCGAGGGGAAATCTTTCATCAGGTTTTACTTTCATGTTTTCTTAATCTTCAGCTTGATCTTGATTTCTCTCATTGATAATCAACCCCTTCTCCAAGAAATTATTCCCCAATCTAAATCCGTAGAGACACGATCATTTCTAACTCCGTGGAAATGTTATGTTATTCCTTTGAGTAGATTAGTTCCTCTTAATACTGAAATATTTCCTGTGTTCATTAGGCATCATATATTGGAAGTATTCGGTGTTCCTTTACATATATTTAAACAAGAAAATAGATTAAATGAACAAATATTGATCATAGTCCTCCAAATAATACTGGCTGTGCTCATGTTCCAGAGGCACTACTTCAATTAAACCCCAATCCTTCTTAGCATGTTCTTCTGGAAATTAACCAAAGTGTTTGGGAATGAGATGATTCAGTTACAGTGAACCAGAAAACACTTTCAAAACCAGAGCTTGCATTTGATAACATTGAAATTCCAAAATTAGGGGCTAAGATAACCCAAATTGAAAGATTCAAACAGCACATTTTCATAATATCAAATCACATACATAGGTAACGCCAAGGTTTAAACATGAGACCTCACTTTTTGATAATGTTGAATTAGTGTACAATCTACTTGTAGATTAGGTTCTAGGTATTGGCATATGTAAAATGATAGATTTTAGATTGGATAACAGACAATCTTCAAAACAAACATTTTTGTATCCATTTCAGGTTTGAAGATGTTACCTTCAAAAGAACAGAAGAATCAGCCAAAATTCAAAACGCAATGCAGAGTAGAACCGGATTAATTGAAGCCATAATATTCGAAGTAAAAGACACCGAAAGAATCGGTGGAAATTTTCTAAAAACTAATTCAAACATCTTATGTTGCACTCCAAAGCTCGCATCAGAAGAATCCTGCACTGTAGGAGAAGTCATCATCCAAAAAGACGAAAATACCCCCGAATGGCCAAAACGAATCCAAACCTTCTTTGAAGGAAACAAACAAGAAGCCAAAATGAAACCTCAATCAGTTGACATAAACAAAACCGGAATGTACTATCTTTACTTCATGTACTGTGATCCAGAACTCAAGGGCACAGTAATTTCAGGAAGAACAGTCTGGAGGAATCCAGAAGGGTATTTACCTGGAAAAATGGTAAAATTAATGACTTTTTACGGGTTCATGTCTTTGGGTTACCTTGTTCTTGGGCTTGGTTGGTTTTTAAGATTTGTTCAATTTTGGAAAGATATAATGCAATTACATTATCATATTTCTGCTGTGATTGCTCTTGGGATGTGTGAAATGGCACTTTGGTATTTTGACTATTCTAACCTTGGGTCAACTGGGAGTAGGCCTTTTGGGATAACAGTATGGGCTGTGACTATTAGTGCAGTGAAAAAGACTCTTTCAAGGTTGTTGCTTTTGGTGGTGGCTATGGGGTATGGGGTGGTGAGGCCCACCCTAGGTGGGGTCACTTCTAAAGTGATGATTCTTGGTGTGGTGTATTTTGTGGCTATAGAAGCACTCGAGCTTGTTGAAAATTTGGGAAATATTAATGATTTTTCTGGGAAAAGTAAATTGTATTTGGTGTTGCCTGTTGCATTCTTGGATGCTTGGTTTATTTTGTGGATATTTTCCTCTTTGTCCAAGACATTGGAGAAGCTTCAGGTATAAATATAATCTTGTTATATCAATCTTTTCGGAGGGCATTTTCGTCTTTTGGTTTTAAATTTTGTTAATGATGTTTAGATGCGGAGAAGCATTGCTAAACTGGAGGTGTATCGAAAGTTCACAAACGCCCTTGCACTTTTTGTCCTTCTCTCTATTGCTTGGATTGGCTATGAGGTACCCTTTATTTTATTTTATTTTTTCTTTTCTTTCTCATTTTTATTTTTTGACTAATTATTTTTTTAATTAAAAAATTAAATTCGACAGTTGTACTTTAATGCAACTGATCCAATAAGTGAGCTATGGCGTATCTATTGGATCATTCCCGCTTTTTGGTCACTACTCGCCTTTTCACTGTTGGTGGTCATATGTATCCTGTGGGCCCCTTCTCGCAATCCCACCAGGTAATTTTTTGTTTCACAGTACACAGTATACAGTACACAGTATAATAATGTGTGTGGGGGTGTAGATATGCGTATGCAGGGGACACGGGGGAAGAGTATGATGAGGAGGCGATATCGCTTACAAGTGGAGTGAAAGTGGATGGGGGAGAAGTTGGAATGATGATGGAGAGGAAGGAGAAGAAAGGGTCAGCCTCAACGGATCATCTTATTGGGCTTACAGAAGATGTAGCAGAAGACAAAAGAGAATGAGAGTGAGAGTGAAAATGAGAGGTGTTTTGAGTTGTTGATTTGTGTAAAGTTTGTGTCATGTGATGATGTATGTATAAAAACGTGACTAACTAACTTACTATCACTCTTTGCATCTTTCATGTTTTGATGGAATGATGAGAGAAAGTGTTGTACTAGTTTTACTTCGACTCCCTTTTGTTCAAGGCCAATATACATTTTCTTTCAAACGTCGACTTGAGTTTAGTTTTAAACTTGTTGATTACTTGTTATGAAAATCCGTCCTCTTGTACTGATTTTGATAATCGAATATCTAGAAAGTTTTTTAGGAAAACGAAATCAAGAAAAGTTATGAATCATTGTTTGTATTGTGCCAAGTAAAACAGAAAAAAAAAGGTGAGATTGTGAGAGATTTTACAAAAGCAAAATGGTATAAAAATATCTAAGGTTTAAATATATTTTGTCATGACAATACAAATTTGATGGCTGTTTTGTAGAACGGAAATTTTTGGCTATTTTTTCAATGAAATAATTAAACAAAATAGATGAGTTTTTTCTCAAATAAAAATGTTTTAATGAGGTCATTCAGTATACTCATGGCTAAAGATTATCGTGGCCGCCTGACAAGCTAACAACGACCGCACACACACACACACCAGGGGTGTCGTGGGCCCACGATCGTTGGCACTCATAGTCTATACCACGAAAGATCACAACCAACTAGCTCTCTCTTTCTTTTTATTCTTTCTGTTTATCATGATTGTTGCAGGTACACTAACAATGGTGTGGAAGGAGATGGTGGTGAGATGAAAGGAGACGGTGGTGAGATGGAGAGAAACCACACTACTTGGCCTGTCCCCATACCCAACATAATAGGAACATAGCCGTTCCAAACATATTTTGGGCCTAGGGCGAAAGAAAAAATGGGCCTTTAAAATACACAATTATAATCAAGTTTTTTATAATAACTCAAAAACTGAAAGAAAATTATTTGTACCATCTATAAATATAACAATTTTCATAATAAATTTAGACTCTTTTAAAAAATGGGCTCTGGATGGTCGCCAATATCGCCGACCCTCTGGGACGGGCCTGAATAGGAAAAGGTAAGAAGTAAGAACCACTTACGATGGTGAATTAATGAAGTTAGTTTATATGGACTAAAATACAAAGAAAACTTAAGGTTGGGGTTAGAAATGAAATATCAAATATCAAGAGGATTGAAATCGAATTTATGATTTTATGAAAATTGAATTGATAGCCAGTCAATTTAAAGTTCAATTACTACTCTTTAGCCTTAAACCCTAGAATTTCATAAGCGTCTCTTGACTCTTCTCACAATTTCGATCGTCTCATTTTGTCTCTTCCATCTCGCTCTTACCTCTGTCGCTGCTACTCTAGCTCAGGTAAATGTCACTTCCTTTCTGTAGATCTTCCTCTGTAAATCTATGACAATCATGCTTGTGCCTTTTGTATTCTCGCTTTCCTTCGACCAGTTCCTGAATATTTCATGAAGGCCACCATAAGCAACAAGAAGCTCTGGGAGCTTATCTACCTTTTACTCATCGGCATTGTTATTAGTGATAAATTGTTTAACATAAAAGTTGGATAGGGTTTGAAGCTCTGATGATAATATCGGTGCACTGGAATTTCACATGTTTCATCGATTTTACCTAAAAATAGTTTGCAAAACCTTTCACAATCAAGAAGGCAGATTTTACTATTCTCACAGAGTATCTGAAAGATTTCGTGAGCGGTGAATCATGTTATTTGTCATTGGTTTACATTCCACTTCATCTACAAACCAACCAAAAATATACAAAGGAATAGAATAGAATTAAATTCCATTCCAATTATCGTTTCCAGATTATTCGTATTCCAATTCATTGGAAAGATTCCACTTCCTAACCAAACTCCCTCTAATAGTAAATAGTCCCATCAATTTGAAAACAGTCTTTTTCTTTCTACTTTCTAATCAGTGGATTTGGTTGTTTAATTAACTAGCGATTCTTGTAAGCAATTCACGGATTTCATACCATACCAGATGAAGAATTGTTTTACTTTTACCAATTAAATTAAGTTATTCGTTTTGTAGGTGAATTCATATAACTGTTAAAGGATGGTTGAAACCTTGTTTGAAGATATATTTAGGGTTGATCAGCTTGACCCTGATGGCAAGAAATTTGACAAAGGTATTCTTCACTTCAATCATCATCATCCTCCCATTCTCCTTCTCTTGAATCCAATTGAAAAGTAGCTTGGCATGTTGGTAGTACAAGAAAGTAACAATAGTAAATTACTGTTTTATCCTTTCAATAAGAAGTTAGTATCTGAATATGTTTGTTGGTTTTTTTGAAATAGTTAATCGTATTGAAGCAAGAAGCGATCAATTTGATATGTACATGCAGCTGGATGTGAATACAGATGTTTATCCTATGCATGTTGGTGAGAAATTTATGATGGTTTTAGCAACTACCTTGAACTTGGATGGAACTCCTGATAGTGGATTCTTTTCTCCTGTAATCTCAACACTTTGACTTTTTATTTTTGGGTTGACTTTTGATGATAAAAGAATAATTTGATATTGAGTTTAAATTTTAATTCATGATCTTGAATTGCACATACTTTTTTCTTTCAGGGTGGGCGAAAGTCACTTGCTGACAAGTTTGAATATGTGATGCATGGAAAATTGTATAGGATCAATGAAGAAGGCTCAGGAGCTAATGTTAAAGCGTATGTTGAGCCATATTACTATTTTGCCCTTTTATCCAGTTTATGAAATTTGGTCTCAAGTGTCGACTGCTCTTGTTTTTTCAGGGACATTTATGTCTCATTTGGTGGTTTATTGATGTTGTTGAGGGGTGACCCTTCGATTGCAGCTAAGTTTGAGCTTGATCAGAGGCTATTCATCCTCATGAGGAAGGTAAAAAGCCTTTTTTGGTATCTTTTTATAACTGTTTTCAATGATGAGGGCATTCTCGTCTTTTTGGTGGGGACAAAACTTACATAATTTGATCTATATTAGTTTATAAGGAGTAATAAGTATAATTTTGGTATTGCAGGTGGACAAGGCTTAGTTGTTCAACATATATATCAATCAGGATGATGCCAAAGTAATGAGAATTAATAAAAAAAAATCAGATGTAAAATATGTTGACAGTTTTAACTTCTCATACATTGTACGTACCCTTTGGGGGTTACTTTCTGCAATATGAAAAACAATGGTAATTTCTAATCTGGAAACGTGATTTTGGACAAATGTTGAAGTGAAGATATTTGTCATGTCTCTTAAAGCATAGGTTATTTTTCAAGTATTTTTCATTTTCAATAAATGTTTATTGTCTATGCGCATACATGAACATGATTGAGAAGTAACACTTAGGTGTGTTTGTAACATTTAATTATTATAGATTTTAGTAAACTTTTTTTTTATTTAAATTATAAATAACTGTACCACGTTAAATAATTATTAATTGTAAATAATTAACATATTTGTTAAATTTGTTAAAAAGATATAAAACAGTTGTTGATATTTATTTAAAACTATCCTTAAACGAGTATTACTATTCGTTAACATAGAATAATTTCAAAAATTAATTCGACAGAATCAAAAGACAAGTGATATTACACTCATATCATGCTGTAAGAATAAAAAAAATATGGAAAATCTCTTTTTATACTTGGAGCTTAAAAAAGTTATTTCTTTTAAAGATATTTTAGTCAGTTTTCTTGGGTTTTCTATTAAAGTTTTTTCATTTAATAGGCTCAAAGGTTACAACATGCCTAAGCTGAATTATGAACAAATTTCGTCCCCCCTCTATTTTTCATATTACGTGTAAGGTAGTTAATTAAACAAAGACTTGATCAAATGACAGTTTACATCTCTCCTCGTATGCTTCCACCACAAGAGTCTCGATTCTTTCTCTGTCTGTAAATTCCTCTCTAACTTACACTTGTAGAAAACACAACATCTTACTCTCACGAGTAATATCAACACATTTCCAACCTTCACCTTTTTCCCTATTTTGTAAAAATTTCCCATATTTTGTCCCAAATCCAGCTCAAACCCATGACATTTAATCAATAAAACTGGTTCAAGAGGAGTACGTTTTAATTGTCTTGAAATTTGTGCTCAAAACAACATCAAAATCAGCTTTTAATCGTTTTGTTTTTTGATAGATTTGTTTGAATGTGTGTGAAGAACTAATCTTTGATTTGATTTTGTGATCTGGGTAGTCATTCTTTTTCTCAATAAATTATGAGGGAAGGGAGATTAGGGTTTGTAATATGTGTTTTGTTGTTGATTTGTGAGTCTACATTGGGTAGATTTGTGGTTGAGAAGAACAGTTTGAGGGTGACGTCACCTCAGAATTTAAAAGATACATATGAATGTGCAATTGGTAATTTTGGTGTTCCTCAATATGGAGGAACATTAGCTGGAGCTGTTCTTTATCCAAAAGCTAATCAAAGGGCTTGCAGGAGTTTCTCTGATGATGTTTCTTTCAAATTTAAATCTGGTGCTGGCCTTCCTGTTTTCCTTCTTGTTGATCGAGGCGGTAAATTTACGTTTTTACCCTTTTGCTCGATTGTATTATTCTCTATCATGTAAAAAATTCATTCGTATTGTAAAAGCAGAATCAATGTGATTCATTTTATTATAACAAGGATTTGAACGAAAAACAATAACATCATATACTAGATGTTCGGTTTTTACCGGGTATCCCTTTAAAAATGAAAAGAAAAAGTTACAACGAACCTAAAATACGCAAAATAGGAAACCCACAAAGTCTTCAAAAGATTTTTATGTCATATGCCATTTTGGTAAAAAACGGTATATATTGGTATTATTATTTGTTAGTAAAGAAATATGAATATATTGTTACGGGGTAATAAAGTAAATTACATTATTTACTGTTTGGCAGACTGTTACTTTACATTAAAGGCATGGAACGCACAGAGAGCCGGAGCCGCCGCTATTCTCGTCGCCGATGACAGGCCTGAGCCTCTGATCACCATGGACACACCAGAAGAAGAAAGTGCTCGTTTCAATTACTTACAGAACATCTCCATCCCTTCAGCCCTCATAAGTCAATCACTTGGGGAAGCGATAAAACGAGCCCTAGAAAAGCCAGAAATGGTAAAAGTAAACCTCGATTGGAGAGAAGCTCTTCCTCACCCCGATGATCGAGTTGAATACGAATTTTGGACTAACAGCAACGATGAATGTGGACCGAAATGCGATAGTCAAAAGAATTTTCTAAAAGATTTCAAAGGAGTCGCTCAAATTTTAGAGAAGAAAGGGTATACGCAATTCACACCACATTATATCACTTGGTATTGTCCTGAAGCTTTCATTTTGAGTAAACAGTGTAAGTCTCAGTGCATTAATCATGGAAGATATTGTGCTCCTGATCCTGAAGAGGATTTCGCTCGAGGGTATGATGGGAAAGATGTTGTTATCCAGAATTTAAGACAGGCGTGCTTCTTTAAAGTCGCTAATGAATCTGGAAAACCATGGTTATGGTGGGATTATGTCACAGATTTTGCTATTCGTTGTCCAATGAAAGAGGAGAAGTACAATAAAGAATGTGCAGAAGAAGTAATCAAATCACTTGGTGAGTTTTCGCAACGTTCTCTGAGCTTATTATGTGTAAAGAAATATTAGAATATTGGGTAAAAAGAGTAAACTACATTGTTATTTCCCTATTAATCTCAACATACTTGTTGCATGATATAATTTATTGGTATATATTGTGTTCAAGACACTAAATTGAGATCTCTCAGGGGCTGATCTGAACAAAATAAATGAATGTGTGGGTGATACAAAAGCAGATAAGGAGAACCCAGTTCTCAAAGCTGAGCAGGAAGCACAGGTTTTCATCATATACATTTTTTTTTAAATTATTATAATTCGCATATTCTTTTAAGTTATGTTAATTAATTAACTTTGTAATTTTACAGATAGGTAAAGGTCCACGTGGAGACGTGACAATATTGCCAACTCTCATAATAAATAACAGACAATTCCGAGGTATGTGAAAATTTTGTTAAAATAAAGATTGATAACCTAAATTACATTGACATTTATTTATTTATATATTTTTGCTTCAGGTAAGCTCGATAAAGGAACAGTTTTGAAGGCCATTTGTTCAGGATTCGAGGAGACAACTGAGCCAACTATTTGTTTGAGAGAAGGTCAATTCTACATTCATTATATTATTTACTCCCTCCGTCTCAAAATTATAGTCCATCTTTCCTTTTTGGTTTGTCCCAAAATAATAGTCCACTTCTAAAAATAAATAACATTTTTACCAAAATACCCCTCATTATTACTTAACCAACTAAGCATTTAATGGAACATTAAATGCAAAGTAAGGACAAAACTGTCATTTTATTAAATAAAGTTAGTGGTAATTAATGTTTTACTTAATATGTGTGTTTTTTTGTCTGTGGACAAAAATATTGGGACGGAGGGAGTATTATTTTTCCTCTAATTTAATATATTGATGTTGTATGTGGGTTAATTTCAGGAATAGAAACAAATGAGTGTATGGAAAACAATGGTGGATGCTGGATGGACAAAACTTTAAATATCACAGCATGCAGGGTACGTTTTTTTTGACATGCTATTTTGCGGGTTTTATATAAATGTTCTGAAAAATCTTATCTTATTTAGTTAAATTGCATGTTTTTTGTTTGGTTGGTGTAGGATACTTTCAGGGGGAGAGTTTGCCAATGCCCGATTGTTCAGGGTGTAAAGTTTTTTGGTGATGGTTATAAACAATGTGAAGGTAATTAATTTGTATCGTATGTGTGCACATATTTTGTCCATGTGGTTTTGATCCTCTGTGTTGCAGCTTCGGGAGCTTTACCGTGTGATCTTAACAATGGAGGCTGTTGGAAAGATACCCAGCAAGGCAGGACTTTTTCTGCTTGCATTGTTAGTACTCTCTCTCTCTCTCTCTCTCTCTCTCTCTCTCTATATATATATATATATATATATATATATATATATATATATATATATATGTGTGTGTGTGTGTACATTTTTTTTTGTCTTTTGGTTCTATATTATATATTGATTTTTGTTTTTGTTTTTTTAAAAAAAAAAAAATCTGTTGTAGGATGATCATACAGAGGGTTGCAAGTGTCCACCAGGATTCAGAGGGGACGGAGTCAAAAGTTGTGAAGGTATTTATCCCATTTATTAGAAAGTAAAACTACAAATTCCCCAAAAAAAAATCCAACAATTTAATTTTGACATTTACTATTTATGTTTGAAGACATTGATGAATGTGAAGAGAAGACAGCTTGTCAATGTCCCAACTGCAAATGCAAGAACACATGGGGTAGTTACGACTGTAAATGTGGTGGCAATATGCTTTACATTAGAGAACACGACACATGTATAAGTGAGTGTTCTTGTTTGTTTAAGTTATTAAATTTTTAACCTAGTACTCTCCAAAATATCAACATTTTTTAATTTTGTTACTTGTGTTTTGGAATAATTAACAAATTGATAACTAGGTAAAGATGCTATCTCGGGAGTGGGTTGGGGATTTATGTGGGTCATCATTCTTGGTATGGCAGTTGCTGGAGCTGCTGGATATGCGTTCTATAAATACAGAATTCGGGTACACTTTTTTATTTTTTTTAATTAATTGAATTTGACATAACATATAGAGAAAATTGAAAACATTTATAAACAAAGGATACAAATAGAAAACAAATAAGTGTAGTTAAGATCTTAGGGTGATATTTTTGTATTGTAGACATACATGGATTCTGAGATCCGGGCTATAATGGCACAATACATGCCATTGGACAATCAAGCTGAAATTGCAGTCCATGGATCACATGGGAACGTGTAAAAGAAAAGAAAAAGAAAAAAGAAAAACAATTTGTGAAAAGTTGGCACATTGATCCGAAATCAACATCTATGTGGTTAATGATGCGTACCATTTATTACACATCTGCAGAATTTTCACTAATCTACACTCCGAATCATCACTAGAGTTGTTTGTAAGTTTAGATATTGATTCTTTTAGTTTATTAGAATAATAAATGTGGTCGACTTTGTTGATGATGCAAGATGTATGACAAGTCGATGGTTAAATCATAGAAGAGTTTAGAATGGTATTATTGCATTTGTTTCCAGAATCTTTCTTCTGTAAGCCTTTGGGTTCAAAATGAATACATGAAACCCATTACACGATTAATTTCTTTACTTATTTATGCGTTACTTAATGTTCTTTGTGA